ACACACACACACGGTTGGACTTGCTCTGTGAGACCTGTGTCTTATTCAACCTAAAATACTATGTAATTACTTTGCCCCCCGTTCTTCCTGAAAGAAGTACATTTTATATGACAGGTGCACTTTAGCTCATCATGCTTGGCTTGCTGCTACCTGAGTTATCACTACAGGCTAAGATCTGATTAGTCTTGTTCCTAGATAGACGGAGAGCCAACGATTACTCACTTTGATATAACAACATATATTTCTGTGCATTGCTTTCATAGTTGCATGTTATTTCTGACCTCTCTACATTATCTTTCTATTCTACTTGTAGCTCAATAAGTTTAACCCAATGGGAGATCTTTTGGCATCAGGAATGGGTAAGCTAATTATTCTTCTAGTGCATAGCAAACTTTTCTAGAACAAATGTTGTAATTTCAACAATTTGTATACACTGTTTATACTTAAAATTGATAGTTATAAAAGATACAAATGATTGCAGCTCTGTACTTATTATGTAATTAAATGTTGTTGTTTTTTGTTATAAATGCAAGCAATGTAAGGGCCTGAGTTTGATTGGCATTAGCCTCATGCAGTCCTATTACAGCAGAGCTCAGATTGGGGAAGGAGAAAGCTTCCTATGGAGACACTCACTTGTGCAGCATTGCTCATGTGCTGTTGTGCTAACAAGTGACATGCTGATAGAAGAAGTAAACTGATGAGTTCATCTCTTTTACTGTCTGGTCACATGTTGGGGGAGAGACGAGACCTATAAGTGTTACTTAAAAGAGAACTATGGCCATTTATTTCTGGAAATCTGGGGGGCGGGGTAATGACTTGCCGCCGGCTTCCTGATTTGATTTGGAAGTTGGTTTATCAGGAAGCCAGGCGGCGAGTCATTACACACCCCCTGCTTCCTGTTTGGCCAGGAAGCCGGCTCCCATGTGAAGAGGTAATATGGAGCCAGCTTCCCGGCCAATCAGGAAGCTGGCAGTGTGTATTGAATCGCCGCCCGGCTTCCTGATACCGGAAGTTCCAGTATCGGAGTAAGTATCGGGAGTATTTGAGCGACTACGAGTACTCGCCTAAATACTCTGTATGGGCATCGATACCAATACTAGTATCAGTGCATCCCTAATTTTGGTGCAATAAGTATTTTTTATTGAGACGTTGAGTGTAGATGACATGTTTCCCATTGGGCAGCTTTCCAAGAGGAAATGGCTGCTGTGTTGGCTCGTAATTTGGGTTAGAGTAGTAGAAAAGCGTCTAATAAGGTCCAGACATGTTCTTTATTGTAGGGCATGTAAAACTATAAAGCCAGTTCATTCTGGTCTAATAAGGTAAAGACATGTTCTTTATTGTAGGACACACATAACTATAAAGCCAGTTCATTCTGGGAGCTCAATGGCGTCCCCCTTTTCATCAGGGCTACAAAGGGATACCATAAAAAGGTACAGTATATACCCCATGTTAGGTTTTAGGCTAAAGGTACAATAAATATCCAATACAATAAATATCTCTAGCTTATATGCTTACTTTTGGATTCTTCCTCACATACCATCTTGCTGACAGTGGTCTTCAGGACAATGGGGTAAAACTTTCCAGCGAGGACACAGACAACAATATAAAACTTTACAATGGGTCTAATCTTTCCCGGCTTTATTGGAAACAAATAAAATTTGCCTTTACAGTCACTTTAAATGTTCCTTCGGGGTGGGATCTGTATGGTTCTAAGTACTCTGTAAAGCGCTGCCATAAGAAGATTCCATTTCCTGACCCCATGCTGTCCTTCTTTCCAGGCTTTAACATCTTGATCTGGAGTCGAGAGATTCTATTAATGATGAAGCAGGAGGAAATGATGAGGGCCTTACGGGCAAAGGGGATTCAAGTGGGGAGAAAAGAAGATCCAAAAAGCAAACCCACAAATTCTCAAAAGGACAAATCTGAGACGAAAAAAACTAGGACTGCTGTCAAAGAGTCGACCACCACACGAGGGAAAAACAAAGACAAATGAGCGGCCATCGAAGGCCTGGCCTATGGGCATGACACTCAGCTCTGGCTGCAGTAACCAAACTCCTATAGTGCCTTAATGCACTGACCTCATCCAGCAGAGTATATGGTTACATCGGGACAGGCATGTTCTGATTTGTGTTTTTCCGAAGGCTACAAATTCCTGTTGCCCTTTCCCGACCTGCCTGTCGTATGTATGCAAAAAGAGAAAAAACAAAACGGGCTTTCACCTCTTGCAGCATGGTCACCTCAGTATGGGGGCATTACAGGGTATAAATGAATGGAAGGGAAGTTTGGAGGCACAATGTTGGCTTTGAAGAGCACATCCTGTAAATGACTGCTTTCTTTTTAGGTGTCCTAAAATGTTTTGTCTTCCTCTGGCACCTGGTAAGAGGGAGTCCACATTGGGGCTTCTAGGTCAAACCAAGATTCCTCATTTTCTGAACCCTATAGGGGAAAAGCTAGTGGCTTCAACTGCTATGTGGCCACAACCAGGGTGGGATGTAAATATTTTCGTCTTCCTCTGACAGCTGTTGAGAGAGATTCCACACTGGGGATTCTAGGCCAAATCTAGAAATCAATGGACTCCGTTAGCGAATCATGTTCTGCACCCTATCGGAGGAAATCTGGTGGCCTCGTCTTCAACCACCAATAGTCATAACCAGGACGGGATGTGAATACTTCCTCTGGCCACTGATAAGAGGGCTTCCACACTGGGGATTCTAGGCCAAATCAAGAAATCAATCGACTCCTGTAGGGAATCATCTTCTGCACCCTATCGGAGGAAATCTGGTGGCCTCGTCTTCAACCACCAATAGTCATAACCAGGACGGGATGTGAATACTTCCTCTGGCCACTGATAAGAGGGCTTCCACGCCAAATCAAGAAATCAATGGACTCCTATAGGGGAATCATCTTCTGCACCCTAACGGAGAAAATCTGGTGGCCTCTTCTTCAACCACCAATGGTCATAACCAGGACGGGATGTGAATATTTTCGACTTCCTCTGGCAGCTGTTCTACAGATTCTACATAGGAGCTTCTAAGTTAAATCAAGATTCCTCATCTTCTGAACCTATAGGAGAAAACCTGGCAACCTTTCCCCCCCACCGCTAAGTGTTCCTAACGAGGACGGGATGTGTTATTTACCCTATAGATCCTCCTGCCGATGAGTTGGTATTGTGGGTTCTGCAGTAATAACGATAATGTTTTTGAGATTGGAGGATGATCAGGACTGAGTTGGGCACTCTGAGCATAATACATGGCAGTAGGATGAAGGATTTTCTACTTTGTGGGAAGAGAAACATATAAACATTTTGGGAAATCCTCTTGAAAGCTGAAATCTGGGCTAAACAAATATTGTCTAATTGCAAAAGATGTGTAATGGCTTTTTAAACTTAGATTTGACCTTGTAAAGAGTAGCATTGACATCCCCACTGGGCTCCAGCTATCTTGTACAGAGAGCAGAGCTGTGGGAGGTACCCATTAGGCCCCGCCCACTACAGGCATCCTGAAGAAAAGTATAGCAGGGGCGGAGACCAGATCAGTCACCCTGCACAAGGAGAGAGCAGCAGTGAGCGGTTTTTATTACAGGAGGGGGCGGAGACAAGACCAGTAACCCTGCACAAGGAGAGTGAGCGGTTTTTATTACAGGAGGGGGCGGAGACGAGACCAGTCACCCTGTGAGCAGCAGTGAGCGGTTTTTATTACAGGAGGGGGCGGAGACAAGACCAGTCACCCTGCACAAGCAGAGAGAGCAGCAGTGAGCGGTTTTTATTACAGGGAACTACTGCACAGAAAAAGTGCAGGAGCTCTTTCATGCTGGATTACTGCACAGATCTAAAAGGAATACACACACACGAAGATTCAAGAAAGAATACATGACTTGTATTTAGGCAATGTTTGTTTAGGCGAGAGTCCAGCATCAAAGTGGAAATCCAGAAAAACAATACACAGCTGATATATATATATATATATACACACACACACACACACACACACACACACACACACACACACACGTTTACACTGTTTTCATCTACCAAGATTTCCAAATTGGTTCATCTAGTCTTGGGATCCAAAGCCCTGCCACACTGCACAGCCAGGAAGGCCACTCTGCTATATACTAAATTGGCTTTATTACTTCTTGGATTGATTCCCTAGCGATTGGACCCAGGTGATGGTATTGATTTAGGGGCCCACTTATAAAGCAGTGGTATGTCTCAGCCGCAGCCATACTATTGCTTTTCTAATAACTTGAACGAGGTCATGTGACAGCGCCCTCCTCCTGTTGGCAAGCGACTGAAAGACTCCACACGACATTCCTCATTGCGGAGAGGGGAAGGCGCTCCATATTAAGAAGGCCCCTTAGTGCCCAGTGAACAAGGTGGAGGCCGAGAGGTGACTTTGTAAGCTAGGTTGCTGAACTCATTAAAGGTGATGTCACCTTCCTGGCTGTACAGTGGACTGAATTGTGTAAATCACAAGACTGGCTTTACCGAATGCAAATCTACGGCAGGTAAAACGGTAAGATGACCTCAGCACAGCAGCTGCGGTAAAACAAAAAATCCCATCATGCATCTGCCTCTGGGAGTTAAGCCTGTAGCGGCCAGCCTTGCAGTGTTTCATGGGACTTGTAGTTCACCAACAGCTGCAGTTGCTGAGGTTGCTAACCCTTGCAGTAAACGTATATGAACCTTCACTGTGTATTTAGGTTTTTGTCTAGAGCAGCTTTTCACAACTAGCGTACCTTCTGGCTTCCTCAGGGGTACCTCAAACTTTTTTCACACAGCATCATGCCTCTGATGTAAAGGGGGGGCTTCTGATTTCAAGAGGGTATCCTAGGGGGAGGAGGGGCTCTGATGTTAAAGAATAGGGCTCCTGTTGTAAAGGGGGACTTTTATGTGAAAGGTAGCACTCTGTGTTCCTGCATGGGGTCCCCCCTTAAAATTCATACCATACCCCTATCTGGGCTAAGGGTCTGGTTTGGATTTTGGAGGGAACCCCCGTCATTTACAGTTTTTACATTTAAGTCTGGGGCGCCCCAAAGATTTTGTTTACTTTTAAAGGGTGCCGTGGCTGAAAAAAGGTTGAGAAACACTGATCTAGAGTTTCAGTGATCGCTAAATGTTAGTGTTACAACATGTACCTCCTGCCTGCGCTTCAATCTGTGGATACTCTGCCTCCCCTGGTCCCTCCGTCCACCCTTCATCAACATGCGGATTACATTTTTTAATAATGCCTTTGTCATATATATTACATACCTTATTTTAGACACAATCGCTGGGTCTCTGTCAATGCAGGCAGACCATGGCTGATGAGTGGGCAGCACCTGCTCCCATATATAATGCTGAGCCTACATAACTGAAATCCAATGAATGAAAGGGGCGGGCCAGGGACAGTCCGGATGGGGCGAGAAATTAGGCAGTTTCTATCTGACTTGTTGCAGCTTCTAATGCAAGTTGTGAGAAGCTCACAGCGTGCAGAGAAATCAGAAAAAGCAATTTCGGTCCAGGAGAGGAGCCGGTACAACTGTGCAAGACTATAGGGAAGGCCGGGGTTCATCTTTAAAGTGACCCTGTTGCTCAAAAGTTTTGCTGAAACCTGTTATCAGTTAAAGTCGGCAGTAAATACTCAACTTCTCCAATGTCCGCGTCTCTAAACTGGGCCAGAATCAATTGCAAATGTCTCCAGCACGAAGATATACGTCAGTGCAAATCCACTTTATTGATAAATGTCATACAGACGAGCGCTGCAGGTAACGATTATTTTCATAATCGATTAGTTAGCTGATTATTATCTTAATCGATTAGTTGTATTTAAAAAATCTCTCTCTCTCCCACCCTCTCTCTCTCTCCCACCCTCTCTTTCTCTCTCCCACCCTCTCTTTCTCTCTCCCACCCTCTCTTTCTCTCTCCCACCCTCTCTCCCAAACCAACTAATCGATAATGAGAATAGTTGGCAACTATTCTTGATCGATTTAATCGATTAGTTGTTGCAGCACTAATACAGACAAGCGCTTTTCGGGACCCCTTCATCAGGCTCAATAATGTTATAGTGTCATTATTGAGCCTGATGAAGGGGACCTTGCGCGGCCCCGAAAGTGCTCGCCTGTATGACATTTCTCAATAGAGTGGATTTGCACTGATGTATTTCTTCGTGCTGGTGACATTTGAAATTGATTCTGGATTACTAGCGGCGCCATCCGCCGTCATTACAAGCACCCGGTTTCTTGGGATATCCGGTAAGGAGTGCGGCAAGGTATAGGGATTCTAAACTGGGCCAGCTGCTGCTCTCATTGGTTCCTCCCGCTGTCTTTGCGTCACCAGTCTCCTGCATTGATGTGGGGGTCATCAGGAGGAACCGCTGAGACATTTCCGTAAGTGTCGTTCTGCCAGTGACCTTCAGGGGACAATTGATCAGAATATGAGCGGTGTTGGGTGGTGCCGCCACTGGCAAAAGTGAATATTTAGTGCCTACTGTAATGGATAACAGCTGCTTCAGCAACACTTTTACATGACATGAGTATGTTTCCGTTAATTCGTGAATTTCAACCCAAAACTATCAAAAGTTCCCGTTTTCTTCAGCTAAAACCTCACGCGCTCAGCTGTATACATTGTTTTCTGAGAACGGGCCTGTCATACCCTCATGCCTGCTCCTCCTTACTTCTTCTCCCCGCGTCCCTGTGCCGATCGTGAATTTGGGCAGGCGATGAGCGTGAGTCGGGAGGAGGTGCGGCGTGTGGAGCGTGGATGCAGGCGGGCGGGTCTGGCAGCGGCGAGCGTGAGGTGGGGCGCGCAGTGTGTGTGGAGCCGTGAACAGGGCCAACCAATCGGAAGCCGATTAATCGATGATTGGAAAAGTTGACAACTTTTTCAATAATCGATTATAATCGATTATGTCGATTAGTTGTTGCAGCCCTAATTGCAAGTATTTTAGCATACTCTTATTTTGTATTATTACCTGCTTTTATTATGTAGATAATGAGAGATTCCTTGCCCGTGCACCTAAAAGGAGGGTCTGCCTTTGCAGTAAGCATGTTGTAGGTTTCAGCGACGCAACAATGGAATCTGTCTAGACGTCACGATGACTTTCCCCAGTGGAAAAAACAAAACAAAAACCTAAGGACCTTGTGGGGCATGTGTGTAATTTAATCTCAAGCTCTAAGCATATAGGAAGAGGACTGCAGGAGCAGAACAGAGTGCATAATGGGAAAT